ACTTAAGTTAACGTTTTGTGGTCTTTTACAAAAAGATCTTTTTAAAGGAGGGTGAAGTACGGCGGAAAAGTTGTTCAACCAAAATTATTGTCACGCTCGTCACACAAAGTTTGCCGTCTTCTTTCCTCTCCCGTTCTATTGCGTAAGTTCACTATTATGTAGTAAAAGACGGTAAAATCAGCCACCAACTTCAACTATTAAATTGCCGATTTGAAAAACTTCTAATCATCCTGAAATCATAAGCGCTTCATGCAAGAATATTAATTTAGTATATTTTTAGTATAGTTGACCTTTACAACTTAGAAAAATGCATAATCCATTTTATAATGCATGATTAACGCATGCGCAGCACACAGAGGTTCCTTTTCCTTCCCTATCATATATAGAGAATTCAATCTAGTGGACAGTGGGTTTTTTCTTGTAATTTTCTGCCCTGTCAGGCAAAATTATGTTTTACCAGAATGCAGAAAAGGCCACTTCCTAGGTAGCATTTTAGGATACTTACCAATGCATGAAAAATGGTCTTCTGTAAGGGTGGATTTCCACTGTTGCTAAAATTTTTACGTGTGTAAGTGCATAAAATTTACGTTTGCAAATAAAATGGAGTCAGTTTATGAATGGTTGAGCATAAACATCAAAGTTGAACCTCACTCAACTTCATGTTTAGCTCAACGCTACATTGAATGTACATAGCTTTAATTTTTCCTTGTCTTGCCTCTATTTTATTTATGCCAGTAAAATTTTACATGTACATGCATATAAAAATTACCCAACAGAGGAAATCCACCCTCAGATTTAAAAGGACAGCTGATTTGCGTACAAAAAGATAAAAGTCGCCCTTTCCAACCTTTGTTGGAACGGTTTACTGTCTGACATCACATGGTTCACTGACACAAAACATGTTAGTTCTTATTTTAGCTTAGAACAAACCAAACATTCAAAAGGGTATAGGTTGCAAATCTGATCAAGTATTCTAAACTATCTGGGAGAGTGATAGTCTCAAACATGCTTAACCAGCAATATCGCAAATAGCTAAATCATGACTATCATATATGGTGTATAAAATGTTTACGATTTTGTAATATTAAGAAAAGCTTATTTAGGCTAACATCTGACCAAAACGAAGTACATTCTTAAGGGTTTTAGAAAAAAAGATAATTGCTAAATTAATAACACAGTAAATACATGGTCAATAAAAGCAATTTTCTAGAAGGAATATAAAGATGTCAACTTACTTTTGTAATCTTTTTCATCAAAGTTGTAGTCGTAATGAGAGGTTTGGACTTCGCTACTGGGATCATATCCTGATTCTGAAGGCCTCGGCGCCACATATGGCCGATCAAAAACCTTCCTAAATTCATCGTTATCTACGCGGTTTAGTGGCTTAACCTATCAGTTAAAAAAAAGATGTCATCAAAATGCAATTAAAATAGTTCGATAGCATTTAAAAGCTTACCTGTTCGAGATCTATGTCATCTTGATCGCGATTCACTGCGGAGGAAACCTTTCCAAATTCAGCCATTTTCTGAGGGAATCAGTTCATGTATACCATAAACGACGTGCATCAGGAAGAAAGATAACTTGTTCAAGCCTAAGAATCTTGCAATATACTGTTCAATTCGTCCGTTTACAAGAGACGACATCGATCAAGCCATAATACTGGTGATAAATCTCGCGCCAGAATCCAGGATCAACATGAAACAATAAACACGCAGCCGCGAATGACGAACGACCAATTAGCGAAGCACGAGACAACAACAAAGGCTTTAACTAGGACCAATACCTATAATGCAGATGTTTAAAGCGAAAATCACTCGATAATGTGTTAAAGAACTCAGCTCGGTCTTAAATTTTGCAGAGGAGAATAATATCTGCTGTCACTGTTTGCTTCTTTTCTGAATCTGCTGGCCCAGCCCCCTTGTTGCAGTCCAATCAGTAACGCCCCCCGTAGTCACGTGCCTAGAACCACGTGCTTCAACTGCGATAAGGAAAAAACTAAAAATACCGTATCGAGTAAACAACGGAAGTATCATTATTTGTTTTTTGCTGAATTGAAAAAATTCCGAATAATTTAAAGCAAATAATGGTGTAGCTACAATCATTTATTTACAAATACAAGTGCCTTCTTCCAGCTTCCCAGCAACCAAACTGAAATTATTAAAATATTATTAGTAATAATATATAGATTTAGCAAGGACTAAAAGCGTCACTACCAAAATTTCTCAGATGCATGGCTGACCAAATTTTCTTACCTATGGTGCTCTGCTATTAATATTAATATTATTAAAATTTTATATTTTTTTGTTTGGTTTGATAACTGAATATCAAAGAGTGAAATATGGAAATGACTCCTCGTCCCCGACCTTTATCGGAGTTCTCCTTCCAATATTATTTTTTCTTGCCCCTTAATCCCCTAAAAAGTACCTGGCCCTGATTCAGCGACTTTTCACCCATCAGAAAACTGGGGGGTGGGGGGGGGGGCAGCTGAATTCCTTACTTAACCAGCTGGTAACATTAGAGCATTGCTTCAGCAGCATCCACTTTTACTCTTGGGCAACTAGGAAATCTATGATTTTTCATAGAAATCATATGCTGGGCACAGGTTGCACTGTGTCAGACCACTGGCTTCCCTGATTGTTCACAGCCTTGATTACTTTAAAAGCTACTAAGCTACCTCACCCTCTTCATCGTACAAATAAATTTTATTGTGATGGGTGCCATCACAACCCCACCCCCCACACATGAGCCCAAGGGGTCTTGTTCTTTTTTAACTCACTGATAACATAGCAAAATAAGTGACAACATGTATCTCAATCTTTCTGCCCTGCAAAAGATTAAGTTTGATGCATTATTCCTACTCTGGTTGCAGATGTGAAAGGAAAGCAAGTTCTCTTTGACAGCTACAAATAATGTCTAAGCCAGAATGATAAAAGAAAGGCTCTCTATATCCACTGTCTAGCAGACAATAATCTGCAAGAAATCATTAATCTGTTTGAAGAAGCACCTGTCTCTTTGCAAGGGTAATCAATTACATTACTTTCAAGTTCAAACATTTGAGAAATAATCAGTGTTCATATCATACTTCCTTCAAAATGCATGCAATGCAGCCTCGTACAATTTTACACACTTGCACCTCCAGCCTCAATTGGCCACTGTACTAGTTGGATCACCCATCGCAACCCCCCCCCCCCCCCCCCCCCCCCCCCCCCCCCACCAACCCAACACCCCCACACCAACCACCCCACCCATCACCACGACCTCACAACACCGAACCAACAACCAACAAACACCCACACGACAAAAAGAAAAAACCAAACAACACAAAATACAAACAATTCAAAAATTTGAGAAATAATCAGTGTTCATATCATACTTCCCTCAAAATGCATGCAATGCAGCCTCGTACAATTTTACACCCTTGCACCCCCAGCCTCAATTGGCCACTGTACTAGTTGGATCACCCCCCGCAACCCCCCCCCCCCACCCCACCTCCCAACTGGTAAAAAGTGAAAAGGTCTTACTAAGGACCTCGCATGAATAATAGGTTCTCAAATCTGGTGACAACTGCAAGAACATACACTTGTGCAGTAGATAACAAAGCTCAATACTGTAACATTTAGGTTCGGGTATCAACCACGACTTTTAATAAACATTTGCTATAAGTGACAAATTCTACCTTTTAGTTATCAAATTAATATTTACTCAATTTTTCATAATCTGTTTGAACCCACACAAAACAGAAATTCCATTCCATTCTTATTCTTCATGTACAGACCAAACTAAAAGAACATCATCCAAAACACTAGCAAAAAATATTAAAGAATGTAAACACCTGACTTTTGTAGTAAAGCACAGAACCTACAATTAATTTTAGAGAGTTTACTTTCAGAACTTCCTACCACATTAGATCAATACAAGGGTTTGCTTGACATACCCCAGTGTTCAGTTACTTTAATTTTGTTATTTTTCTACCAACAGAGCAGATGCTACTATAACTGGAATTTATTAGCTACTTCTGTCAACAAGAAGGCCTCCAGCACACAGTATAATATGCTCTATAGGATGTAACTATGAGAGTACTGCTCAGTAATTATTTATCCCTTCTTAATACAGTCCTTTAAGAGACCACTAAGTCTCTGCATTTTGGGTGGTCCCTTACGGCAAGTTTGACTGTATATTGTAAAATATCAATTAAGCGCCGCTACACAAATAAATGCCACTCTTGAATAAGTGCTGCACCTTTGCCATAAATAATGTAATAAGTGTCATTCTCGAATAAGTGCCACAGTGCTAATTTGGGTAATTACAAATAAATGTCCCACCTTTGTTTTGGAGCTTAATATAAAGAGATATCAAAACCATATCGCTTGACAAATAAGACCACGACCAGCTCGTGAGTTCTAAAGTTTAAGGAAACCAGGTTCATACAACAGTTCGAGGTCTACATACTTGTCCTTTTTCTTGTACACATCTGAGTTCTCTCTATATTCCCCCTCAGTGTTTTACGGGCAGACAAAATAAGTGCCTCTCTCTAATAAGTGCCACGGAGCTTAATCCATCATTTACAATAATCGAACTTGCGCCAACAGCATAAAAAATTTTATTCTTTCCAGTGTAGATCACAGACTAATGCCAAGTGATCTGAGGGCATGACAACTGATGGCAAAGCTAAATGAGAGGAAAGTTCCTCTTCATTTGGCAAAGGAATAACGGATGCTACTTCAAGATGCCTTTTATCGGCAAAAATGTAATCCAAAGTTCCTTTGAAACCCCCAGTGTAGTTTGTGAAAGGAGGAAAGCCACAGGCAGAGAATAAACTGAAATCATGATGTAGAGAGAGAGTTGTACAGTGTTCCTCCTTGTCATCACATAATGTCCAGTCACGATGTGATGCATCAACTTTGCCAGTTGTTATCAACTCAACAACTCCTGTTCTTGGGTTGCTGTTGAAGTCTCCACAGAAAAGAAATGCTACTTGAGGAGGAGGCAGACCTTTTGAGACTGATTCAGCACAGAACTGGGAAATCACTTTTTGTACATGATTTAAGACAATGGTGGCTTGAAGCAATCGTATGTGAGGATAGCTTGGCTTAAAGTAAAGATGAGTATTGGCAACACAGAGGTACTGATTCTTTTGGCCAGCTACTTCAAGCATTAAGAGCTGGACAACTGCATTCCTCTTTTGCAGTGTTCCCAGCAAAATTGGTATCGCTGAAATGTGGTCTAATAACAGCTCTTGTACAGGATCTTTCAGTAGTGCTTCATTTAGAATAATGTCGTGCTGACTTTTAAGTGAAAACTTGCTCTTACGGAAAAACACAGCTTCTCCTTCTGATACTTCACCTCCTTTGCATTTCAAGAGACTTTCAAAACCAAGCATTTCAAGTGCAGGACTGAGAATATTATGAAACAATTTAAATCCACATTCCTGCAGGCAGATTAAATCAGCATTATAACCAGAAATTTCTTTGAGTAGCAACTGCTGACGGTAGTTCATGTCCAACGCATAAGGTGGGCAATATGGATACAGTACTGTCTGAGCAAATTCATCCTTGGAATACGTATCAGCTAGGATATTGTATGACACCACTCTGAAAGTTCTGCTGTTGGTTGTTAGTTTTTTGGTGTACATGTGTCGTGCATCGAAAGGGCAATATCCTGGTCCAGCAGCCACTGTTATTGAGCTTGTGATTTCAGATTTCAAATCACTTTTTCTTGTGGCACTTCCAGGCGTGCACATCAGTTTGAGAAAACAACCAACATCTAGTATGGAGGGCGTGTACCAAAACTCACCACCAACTTCTGTCCAACTGAACACTTCTTTTGCTGATGCCGGGGTGGAGCTCGCTTGTTCTACGCTGTGATCGATTGATTTGTACCAAGTGTAGCTGCAATGCTGCTTAGAGGCGAATTCTAAGCTAAGAACAGGCATCACAGGAAATCCTGACATAATATTGTCAGGAAGGGACAGTGACAATACGGTTGGTGGATTAACTTCAACAGTAAAAATTTCAGATCCGATCTTTAAAGTGGAACCATCTTTCCAGGCATCTTTGTTGGTTAGGCTTGAGCAGACCGGCTCACCATTAAACCAAAGGCTTGCATTTTCGCCTCCGCTGTCACCAGTATCACTACAATCGGCACTCCTTTTTGCCTTTTTCGTTTTCTTCTTACAAGAAAGTTCAATCCTAGTCAACGCCTTGGATAAAATCTCGCCCTTGCTTCGCTGCATTTTCCGTTGTTTTTCATCAAATGTAAACGAAATGGTTAAATTTTCTTCGTCTTCTACGCTTCTTACAACTGCTCTGGGCATTCTGGACGCCCAATAATGAAGGACACGACACTTGATGGACAAAAAAAGCAGTTTCGATGAATCAACCCTCGCCAAACTTGCAAGGCCGCTCATAGTTAAACCGATTGGGGCTGGGACGAGAATTCGTCTGCTGTAACAGGGGGTTTAAGGGAGGGGTAGGAGGTGGAGGTATAACTTGAGGTATAACGGGGGTCCAATTACTCGCAAGCAAACAAATCGTCAAACACTGAAAGGAAAAGAAACTAAAAAGGAAAAATAAAAAACGTCTGTGGATTGTTAGATATACATTAAAAGTAATTTAAGCCCTCAAACATTCTAAGCAGGTTTTAAGATAGCCTCCCCGCAGACGTCCTTTGGGGTTCGTTTGTCACGCGAATAGGTGACGAACGAACCCCAAAGGACGTCGGCGGGGAGGCTAGTTTTAAGAGGGCGTAAGTAAACACGTTTTTCACTTGTAACTGTTGTTCTTAGTATTCGCTTTTCGCACAATTCCTGAGTCGTCGTTAAACTAAAAACTAGCCTCCTTTTGGGTTCCTAAAGTTAACGAACAAAACAGATACATTTTTTGTGCTTNGGGAGGGGTAGGAGGTGGAGGTATAACTTGAGGTATAACGGGGGTCCAATTACTCGCAAGCAAACAAATCGTCAAACACTGAAAGGAAAAGAAACTAAAAAGGAAAAATAAAAAACGTCTGTGGATTGTTAGATATACATTAAAAGTAATTTAAGCCCTCAAACATTCTAAGCAGGTTTTAAGATAGCCTCCCCGCAGACGTCCTTTGGGGTTCGTTTGTCACGCGAATAGGTGACGAACGAACCCCAAAGGACGTCGGCGGGGAGGCTAGTTTTAAGAGGGCGTAAGTAAACACGTTTTTCACTTGTAACTGTTGTTCTTAGTATTCGCTTTTCGCACAATTCCTGAGTCGTCGTTAAACTAAAAACTAGCCTCCTTTTGGGTTCCTAAAGTTAACGAACAAAACAGATACATTTTTTGTGCTTGATTTAGATTCCGAAGGTGATGTAAAATCAAAACAACCTAGCTGTGCAATCTAAATCAGAATTGATGAAACTCAAAAGGGTTTTTGTACATATCTGAAATGGACACTACGATGTACATAATGTAAAAAAAAAAACCAAACCAAACCAAACCAAACAAAACAAAAAAAACTGTGAACTGTTGACTAAAAAGAACATGGCGGGAGAACATGAAGCAAAGAAACAGCTGGGTTCGTTTAATTGGTTAATACCTTCCTACATTTATTTTTAGTTATTAGCATTATTAGTATTAGAATTTACTGTAAATAATTAGTTATAAAACAGAATGTAACAAATTTACGCCAAAACAGGCATCAAAGGCAACCGCCTTGGGATTAACTCACCCAATCCCTCAAGTTATAAGTGTTGACACCCTTCTATTAAAATTTCTCTTTCTCTAAAATACTACACGTGCGGCGCACGTGCCATCCATTGGCCAGTTCCTTTACACATAACTTTGTATCTACTGGCATAAGACCAGGGGTGAATTTAATAAAACTTTTCTAAGTGTAATTTAGAGGTTTAGCTATATTTTTATAGCCATAGACTCTAAAAAAATGGCTACACTTCTAACAGTTTTATTAAATTGATCTCAGTCATTCATCAGGAAACTAGAATAGGTGACATTTTCTGCATTCTCTTCAAAATTTTATTTGATTTATTAAAATTTCTTGCTATACATTTCACCTTGCTATTAGACTTCTGTTGTGGACACCTTTGAAAACATTCCCTCGTGATCGCAAAACAAATAAATAAC